TGGGCTGAATTGCACAAAACGCATGATCGCACCGGCTAGCCTGGTGCGCGTTGCCATTTATTTTCAATTCTGTCAGTTCAATCGAATTGTAGTCGTGAACCAAACAGCCAACAGAAACTAAGCAGAGGTATACAACCCAAGATCGAAAGGCCTGCCATAGCTGCGTAAGGTGTGCAGGAGCATCTCAGTAACACCATTAACATCAGATACCCATGCACTGACAGCCCGGGTGCCTTGGCTAAGTTGTGACGGTTTACTGTTGAGGGAACACCATAACCTGCTCTTTCCTTCGTACTTGGGAATTAATTTCAAATTGGTTTTTTAGCTTTGAGAAAATTAATTTACTTTAATATTTCAATAGTTGTAACTGATTTCGCATGCACTGTGGCCGGTAATGAAAAACTTTGTATGCAAAACACTGGTTATCATATGTTGGCATCGTGGAAAACCCATTGTTTGCGCCCCCGTCATGGGTATTCTTCCTGGCAGCAGCAGCAGCAGCACTATAGAGGAACAACGAGGGGAGCACACCCCTTTCACGCTCCCCTACTTTTTCTTTACATTTTATTTTATATTTTCGGAAACGGGTGGTCGCTTGGGGACCGAAGAACATCGGTCGTACAATGGATAGCATCTACAATGTAACCCCAGTGCCCTGCTCCCAGGATCGTAACATTTCTGAGCATCGAATTCGCTGCTCCTCCTCCTCCTCCTCCTCCGTTACGAGCACCGCAGGGGCCACAGTGGCAATTCCCTCACTCATCACCATTTTTATTTTCCGTTTCGGGTGGGGTACATGCAAATGGTATTTAACAACGGCGACGCCCCAAATTCGGCAAGAGATTAGATCGGGAGAAGTTGGTTGTCTTCGTTGCGCAGGGGCACCCCCTTCCCCTGAACTCTGCCCTCTCCTACCAGCCAACGCACGCATCCTGAATCACCCTTCCCCTCCTCTTCCTGAAATGTGACATGCAAAAGATGGTGCGCAAATGACCGCATCACACATAAATAGTAGACATTTTTGTTCATTCGATGCTCCGTTTCAAACACAGTTTCCTTCCTGTGTGTGTTTTCAGCGCCAATCGTCCCCTTTTTGTCCACTCTTATTTGAGATGTTTGGGTCATTCACGGGTTATCGGATTCGTCAGCTTCCGGTGTCCACTAAATTTTCCTAACAGCTCCCATCCTTAAAATAATCAGCTACAAAACTGCTGGACTTATATAACAGTTGAAATAAGGTGGCTAGCTACTTCCACCGCATGGAAAAAACAATTCGAATACTTAGATGTCTCATCTGCTTTCTTCCATATTGTCTCTGAGCAACCCAGTTTCTGGGAAAATCACTCCGGAACGAAGCAGGGCGGGAGCGGATGATGACTTTTCTGGATTTTCGATTTCTGAAGATAGCGCCGAGGCCTGAAAAAGAGAATCTTGGAACTCGCCGCTTTGTTTGACCAACCCTAATGTTCTCAGGACGATATCTTTTTCTATTTTTTGCATCATTTATTTTCTTTTTCATTTAATTTTCTCGCTTCTTTATCGCAGATTTATCCTTTTCCTCTCCCAAATTCGCAGGGACGGTGTTTCACTGCTTCCTTATGCATAATTCATTAGTTTTTTTCCAGGATATTTTGTAGCATTTAATTTTTTTCAAGTCCCGGCACTGTTGGTTTGCTTCTCTCGGGTCATTTACCCCGTTCTTACTTATCTAAATTAACATGTTTTCTTGCACTCGAAATATTTTCAATTTTTGATCCCTTACAAATAAAATTTTACTCCGAAATAACGAGCTGTTATCCAGATATTTTCTCAATCGAACTGTAACTCATACCGAAAATTCAAAATTTGTCTAGGGTACCGGGATCAGCTGCGAATTTCACGGCTCGTTTTCTCGAATTATGCAGTTGCCAAGTTCTGCAATTTCTTTGACTACTGCTGCGTGTTTTGGTGGTCAGCTTGCTAGTAACAGTAAATCCCTCGACCGAAAAAAATGTACTGCACTGAAAAAAGAACAAGGGAAAAGCGGAAAAAATGTGAGTCAAGACGCGAGTACAACGCACTGGAACATTCACGGTAATCATACACGGAAACCCAGGCTGGAACGCACCAGGCGGGCCGGTGCGATTATGCGTTTTTGCGCTTCTCGTGCCGTAGCAAGATCGCAAGGAATCACAGTAGCCAAACCTGTGACATACTGACCCTCAAAGTTCGGGAAGTTAATTGTGCAACTATGTGGTATGTCAGTTGTAGATATCGACTCCAGTGACCCGGCAAATGGAAAAGTGCTGGTCCGCAAAAAAGGCCGCACCAGAAGAGTTAAATTTGAAATCTTTTATTCGCACATAAGTAGGGAACATCCCTTTAAAATTAAAGCCTTCAGCTTGTCTCGTTCCCGAATTAGCAGTTTTCCCACCAAAATTTTCACATGTCCGTATGTGATTACCGGACGGTTTTAAGGAGCTGAATTTAAAATCTTTTGGTCATATATGAGTAGGGAACAGTATCCTAAAGTTTCAGCCTTCTAGCTTTTTTCGTTCCCGCGTTAGTGATTTTCGCGCCAAAATTTCCATGTGCCTGTACGTGTGCTCCGGGTGTTTCTAAACACCTGATTTTGCTTGTACATGAGTGGGGAACATTCCCTTAAAGTTTCAGCTTTCTAGTTCTTCCCGCTCCCGGATTAGTAATTTTCGCGTCAAAATTTCCACGTGCTCGTACGTGGGCTCAGGTGCTTCTAAACACTTGAATTTGCTCGTACATGGGTAGAGAGCATTCTCTTGAAGTTTCAGCTTTCTAGCTCTTCCCGTTCCCGGGTTAGTAACTTTCGCGCCAAAATTTGTACGCTCTCGTATGTGGGCCGCGGGCGCTCTTAAACACCAGATTTTGTTCGTATATGAGTGGGGAACATTCCCCCAAAGTTCCAGCTTTCTAGCTCCTCCCGTTCCAGAGTTGGTGATTTTCGCGCCAAAATTTCCACGTGCCCGCACGTGGGTCCCGGGTGCTTCTGAACACCTGGTTTTGGTCGAACATGTGTAGGAAACATTCCCCTAAAGTTTGAGCTATCTAGCTTTTCGCGTCCCCGAGTTAGCAATTTTCGCGCCAAAAATTTTCACGTGCTCGTACGTGAGCCTCGGGCTGTCCTAAGGAGCTGAGTTTGAAAACTTTTGGCCGCACATGAGTACGGAACATTCCTGCAAAGTTTCAACT